GGAGCTGGGCCTGCTGCCACAGGGATTCTGGGAAATCCCATCTAATTCCCAGCCCCGCTCACGTGACATGGTGTTGGGCTGGGTCTGGCATTGCAGGGCCAGTGCTGTTCCCTGCCCTGGGTTCAGTCCAACGTTCTCCTGCAAGTAGTTTACAAACACAGCTGCACCCTGGGCCAGAAGGGCTGAAACTCCACAGCACAGCATCCACCACGGCACCACCCAGGGGATTTAACACCTTCAGTGAAACCCAGCCAGCGTCAGCCACGCAGCCTAGGCACCCAGAGCTCCCAGCCGCCCAGCACAGCCCCCGCATACCGCACACCCCTCCCCAGGGCACAGCAGCTCCCAGGAATACCCCCACACACACACACAAACACCCCCAGAAACACCGGAGTGGGTGCTTCCTTCGGTCCTGGCGAGAGACGCAAGCCCCTGTTTATCCCCAGGTGCAGTACAGCCGCAATGCCAGCTTCCCATCGGGCAATACTCCTCCTTGGGCTGGGGTCACCCTTACGAGCAGGAAGGGGGTGTGACGAAGTGGGAATATTTGGTAATCTTTTTAGGAGGTCTGTTTGTGCCTCAGTTTCCCCCAGATGCTGCATTGTTGCCCACTGTTTGCTCTCCAGGCAGGCTGAGACCCACAGGTGGGTGGTGCCCAGATTTCCAGACCCTGTAGCCCCATATCAACAGAGCAGCTGAGAAGACAATGGCAAAGCCAGTTGCCTGGACATTGACACCTAGCAACCGAGGACCCAGAGGGATGTGAACTTTCCTGCCTCTCCTTGGGGAGACTTAACAGCCTTGCCCCAGCCCGAGATCCATGGGGGTAAGTGCTGGCTGCTGGAAGGAGCCAGGGCTCTCACCTAGTGACCAAGGTGGTCAGACGGACAGCCAGTGCTGGAACCATGGGGGTTACTAGGCTCGGCTGGGCTCTGGGTCGACCAGACGATGCTCTAGGCTCCCCTCAGGCCAGCCTGTGCCGCGTGCGAGGCACAGAACCAGCTCTTTCACAACGCGGCATGCGCATCATTGCCCACACAGGGCCAGGCGCATGGGCCCCTCCGAGGGAGGAGCCTCCCTCAGGGTCTGGCTCAGTGGGGTGAGCAGAGCGGAGTGAGGGGCTGCAGGCCCATAGACCCAGTCCAAGGAGGCGGTGTGGCCATGTAGCTACCCCAAGGCAGAGCGAGACCCCTCGGGGGTCAGGCCCACTGAAGGGTTTGCCCTAGAACTGTTCCAAAGCTGGGGCCAGGCATCGCTCCTGTGAGTCCGGGACCGGGGGCCTATTTGTCCTCAGTCTCTCCGCTCAGACTCACCCTGACCAATCCCACTGCTGAGCGGGTGTCTGGAGACCTCGATTCCTTCCCCCGTCCTCCCAGGTACCCCTTCTCAGACTGGGCAGCCAGAAACACTCCATGCCAACCTGGGCTTGAACCTGCACCAGTCTCAACAGCCCACTGCTAAGAGCCAGCCAGGCCTGCAGCATCACAGCACGGAGCAGGTCGGGGGGGGGGGGGGGGGGGGGGGGGCCCCCCCCCCGGGATGGGGGGCGCCCCCCCCCCCCTGGCGCCCCCCCCCCCCCCCATGCACTCGCATCAGCAACAAGATGCAGTGCAGACAGCAAAGGCAGCGAAGGCCCAGGCCAGCACCGTGGTGCCCCTGCCTGCCCCACCCTTTCAGAGGGGGGCTGAACACCTGGCAAAGACCTTTGGCATTACAACCTAGAGCCCCAGTGAGGAGGTTCCCTCCTCTCCCAGGCAGCATGGCACAGAGAAGCAGCCTAGACAAGTACCAGGCTATTCCCATTTAGAGGGCAATTTAACCCACTCTCACACCCCCTTTGTGGGCCCCGCACTAGTGGCACCTTCCAGGCAGAGCCTAGTTCAATGTGCAGCAGGAGTCAGATGGCAAGGGCAGCCGCCCCAGATCTATTCTAATGCTCTTACATAAAGGGCTGGTGTTTCCCTACAGCAAGTCCCGCTGGTCACAGGACTCGGACCGAGTCACAAGGATCCAGAGGCGGACGAGGAGCAGAGCTCTGGGGAGCAGGGAGATGAGAGACCAGGGCCGTTCACTAAGAGGTGGGACCCCCAGCACCATCACTGCTGGGCCAGAGGGACAGACTAAGGGGCCAGAGAAGGCCCCCAGGCTAGTCACCCCACCGCATAACATGACAGTGGGGCACTCAATGAGCTCAGAGCTCTGTCCCTGGTGACCTAGAGAGCCGCAGCCTCCCTCACTCAGAAGAGCTGGAGGACAGGCTCACCAATGGCTAGTAGCCACGCTGGTCAGGGACACAGCCCCCTGCGCTAGGGGTCCCCAACTGCCAGAACTGGGGACCGGATGACAGGGTAGATCACTCAATGATTGCCCTGTTCTATCCATGCGCTGATGCTCTGGCACTGGCAGCAGACAGGATATAGATGTTCTGGAGTCCCTGCCCTCCCCAGCTTTGGGACACCACAAGGCCTGTTTGCTATTTGCAGCTGACTGTGGGGACAGCAGTGGGTTTCGCAGGGATCAGAAGGAGGCGGGGTTCCCGGCATGGCGCCATAAGGCA